CAATGTTGAAAACATGCGATCGTAATTTAATTATCATATCGAATATGAAATTATGGCTTTAATTAATTTAGTATTATTAAACTAGCATTATTAATTATGATTGAAATGTTATGAAGAAGAAATATATTAGATTATTTTCGTCTAATTATGTCTTGTTTGAAGGTAAAATTACAGCTCTTGAGTCATTTATTATCATTTCTGATGGTGCTGTTGGCCATTTCTGTGATAATGACGATGACTTTGTTGTCGTTTGCAATGATGATGTTGATGATTTTGTTGTTGTCGATGATGATTATGATGGTGAAGAAGAAGATGACGAAGGTGACGACGATGATGACGTCATAGGATGGTAGTTGTGGCCATGTTTATGATGGTGGTTTTGATGGAAAATTGAGATATAAGGAAGAAAGAGAAGATGTAGTGATGACGATGAGATTTTTACTAATATTATTATATATGTTATTGTTGTTATTATTCGCATATATTCAGGTTTCTACTTAGTGAATTTTATATCACCATGATGACTTTATATAGCTTTATGTTTTTCTATTTTGTTTCTTTGGTTATTTGTTCGGCTGATTTCTTTTCATCTTCAATCACATTATTAGAAGTATTAATTTGAATAAATAAAATAAAATTTTTTAGTTCATTATCAATCGATCATATTTCATTTCTTTCTTCGCATTCACGATCTTGAGGTTTGAACTACATTTGAATCAGGCATTACTGTTGGAAAAGCTAAGGATATAGGTATATTGCTATAAAGTCTAATTAATTTTTGGCAAGCGATTGCCTAGGTTTTCTCACGTCTTACATCTCAAAAATAGATAGATAGCGATCGTATTCTACATACTTCTTTATTCAATATTAACAGGAAGTTTTAAACAAGTGAGTATAGTTTACGTCTCTCTCTCTATCTATATCTATCTGTCTGTCTGTCTATCTATCTATCTATCTATCTATCTATCTATCTATCTATCTATCTATCTATCTATCTATCTATCTATCTGATTTTCATTTGATCTTTTTGTTTTATATCAACTTTTCTTCTCTTCCTCTTCATTTCATTCTCATTCTTTTCTCCTCTTCTGTCACTGGCTTTCTCTCTTTCTTTTTCATTTGGTTTTATTAAA